CTAGGAAGCTGAATGGTAGAAGTCTCAGGAAATAAAATGAAGTTCTTCTTCACACAGTGCATAGTTAAAAGTGATGGAGTAACTTAGTGTCCTGCAATAGCAGGGGGTTAGACCCAACAGCCTTCTGGCCCCTTCCAACTCTACTGTTCTATGATTCTAAACTATGAAACTTTAGTTTCAGTTTAGCATCAGACTCCCTGCCTGAGCTGACAGAGATCGTCTCGGACCTGGTGTTGAAGACCCCCAGGATGTTGGTCCTGGGGGACTTCAATCTCCATGCCGAGACTGTTCTGACCGGGGCAGCTCAGGACTTCATGGCCTCCATGATGGCCATGGGGCTGTCTCAACATGTCATAGGCCCGACCCATGAACATGGACACACACTGGACCTGGTTTTCTCGACAGGGCAGGAAGAGGGTGATCTGCGGATGAGCAATTTGTGTCTGACTCCCTTGTCATGGTCAGATCACTTCCTCATGAGGTTTGAGCTTGATTCTGGCCTTTCCCTCTGTAAGGGTGCAGACCGTATTGTGTTGGTCCACCCTCAGAGCCGGATGGATCCGGATGGATTCCTGAAAGCTCTGGGGAAGTTTCCGGTTGATAAAGCTGGTGCTCCTGTCGATGCTCTGGTTGAACTGTGGAATGGGGAAATGGCCAGAGCTATTGACACGATCGCTCCTAAATGTCTTCTCCTGTCTGGCAGAGCCTGTTCATCCCCATGGTATACACCTGAACTATGGGCGATGAAGCGGGTTGGGAGACATCTAGAGCATAGGTGGAGGAAATCACAAGATGAATCTGACCGAGCATGCTTATGAGCTCATCATCGAGCCTATGCTGTGGAGGTGAGGGCGGCAAAGAAGAAATTCTTCTCCACTTCCATTGCCTCCTCACAGTGTCGTCCAGCAGAGCTCTTTCAAGTGTACATGGGCTGGTACATCCTGGCTCTAAGAAAGATCCTGTACCACCCTCGATGGCCCACTGTGATGACTTTGCCCAGCACTTTAAGGAGAAAATCGCTCAGATTTGTCACAAGCTGGACACCACTAGTGATTCAGATCCTCTAGGGGAGGTGCCAATGACTCTGTCTGGTCAGATATTATTGTATGAATTTCAGTTATTGTGGCCTGATGATGTGGACAAGGTGCTTGGACAAGTACGTCCCACCACCTGTTTACTTGACCCTTGCCCATCGTGGCTGCTGACCAAAGCCAAACACAGGATTGGTGCCTGGATCCTGGAGGTCATTAACGCCTCTCTGAGGGACGGCCGGGTGCCTGCTCCTCTAAAGGAGGCAGTAGTCAGGCCGGTCCTAAACAAGGCGTCATGGATCCAGAGATGGCCTCCAATTATAGACCGGTGGCCAACATCCCATTTTTGGGCAAGGTGTTGGAATGGGTGGTGGCGGGACAACTCCAAGCACTCTTGGATGAGACTGACTATCTGGACCCATTTCAGTCCAGCTTCAGACCCGGGTACGGTACTGAATCTGCCTTGGTCGCCCTGTATGATGACCTGTGCAGGGAGAAAGACAGGGAGAGTGCATCCCTGTTGGTCCTCCTGGACGTCTCAGTGGCTTTTGATACCATCGACCATGGTATCCTTCTGGATAGGCTAGCGGGACTGGGGGTTGGAGGCACTGCTTGGCAGTGGTTCCACTCCTACCTCGATGACCAATTCCAGAAGGTGATGCTGGGGGACTTTGGCTCTGCGCCATGGCAGCTATGCCATGGAGTACGGCAGGATTCCATTGTGTTCCCCTTGCTATTCAACATCTACATGAAATCACTGGGAGAGGTCATCAGGAGGTTTGGGCTGCGGAATCATCAGTATGCTGATGATACCCAGCTCTACCTCTCTTTTTCAACCAATCCAGGTGAGGCAGTGGCTGTACTGAACCAGTGCCTGGCCAAGGTAATGGGCTGGATGAGGGCCAATAAACTAAAACTCAATCCAGACAAGACGGAGGTCCTGTTGCTGGGTGGTTCGAGCTCCTGGGTAGGTGACTTTGACCTTGCCCTGAATGGGGTTGCACTCCCTCTAAAGTACAGGGTCCGCAGCTTGGGAGTGCTCCTCGACCCAGAGCTGTCCCTGGAAGGAGCACTTTCCTTCACCTTCGGTTAATCCATCAGCTGCGTCCCTACCTGGAGGACGACTGCCTAGTGACAGTGACACATGCATTGGTTACTTCCTGGTTGGATTTCTGTAACCCGCTCTACGTGGGGCTGCCCTTGAAGACAGTCCAGATACTTCAGATGGTGCAAAATAGAGCAACCAGGTTGCTGACGGGGACTGGGCGTTACTCTCATATAACCCCAGTCCTTTACCAGCTTCACTGGCTTCCCATCGAAGTCTGGGCTCAGTTCAAGGTGCTGGTTATTACCTATAAAGCCCTTAACGGCTTGGGACCTGGATACCTAAAGGAACGCCTTCTTCTGTATTTGCCCTCCCGCCCCCTGAGATCGGCACCAGAGGCCCTCCTCCGGGAACCTTCCATGAAAAACATTAGGAGACTGCATACCTGGAGGAGGGCTTTCTCTGAGGTTGTTCCCCACCTATGGAATGCGCTTCCCAGAGAGGTCTGCCTGGCGCTGTCGTTATTTGCTTTTCAGCGCCAGGCTAATACCTTTTTATTTCAACAATATTTTAATAATTCTTAACATCAGTTATATAGGTTTTAATCTGCAGCCAGGGTGGATCTGGATTTTATTTGTATTATGTTTTATTTTATTTTTCTTATTTATGTAAGCTGTCCTGAGGCTATGCGATGGGACTGCATGCAAATACTCTAAACAAACAAACAAACAAACTTAGCTATAGAGTGGTACCTTGGCTCACAAGCTTAATCTGTTCCACAACTCTGGTCGCGACCCAAATTGGTCATGAGCCAAGTCAAATTTCCCCATGAGGTTCAATGTAAATAAGGTTAATCCATTCTGTAACTATTTTTCAATCACAAAAATTTGAAGCAAAGTGACAAAGAACAACAAATATCGTGGTCATCTCCCCCACCCCCCAAGCACAAGCACAGCCACCCTGCCCCCCAGCACGACTGCAGGGAAGATGGGCGCGATTGCAATCATGATCGTCACTCGATACGGAGTTTGCAACCTGAGGTAACATTTTTCTGAAATTTCTGTTCTTGACCCAATTTGGTTGTGAACTGAGGTGTTCATGAGCCAAGGCACCACTGTACTGCAAGATATGCTGATGGTTATGCATTGGATGGTTTGATTGATGAATTCATGGAGGAGAAAGCTATTAATGGTTAGTTACGATGGTATGTATTGAAGGCAATGTGCTTCTGTATACTGGTTGCCAGTGAACATAAGGAAGAGGGTTATTGCTCTCGCATCCTAGTTGGGAGCTTCCCATGGCGATCTGGTTAGCTTTTGTGTGAACAGAATACTGGACTAGAGAGGCCTTTGATCTGCTTCAGCATGCTTTGCCTTGTGTGCTGATGCCTGAATAAATTTGCCCTAGCTGTAATCTTTATTAGTATTAGTACTCGTATTAGTATCGCTGCAGTCAAGAGGTGGGGAAGTGGATGCTGGTGGTTTTCAGTTGCAAACATGAAAAACAGATGTCTGTGACACACAAACATTCCATGTGCAAGATATGATCACCAAGGAAGTGATGGTGGAGAAGGAGGAATCACATCTTTCGCAACAGAAAGATTCCAATGTAAATCTTAGGAAGAGGAGGATTGCCTGCAGCAGAACCTCTGTCTAGGGGAAAGACTTTCAGCTCCAGATGTTGCACTCCATCTTCATTGTTGGAGTGTGTTGACTGTGCACACCCTGCAAAATAAAGCAATTATCTGGAGAGCTGCAAAATGAATATCTGTCTGCATGTTAGCTTGCCATACCTGAATAAATTCACCCTAAAATGTAACTTACAAATCAAGACATTACATCTAGTTTACATTTACATATATTTGTAGTTTACATTTACATATATTCACTATCAGCTGACCTGTATTTGAGGTATGTGACATTGCATTCTTTAGCATTCTTTTTAGTGGGAATAGTGATGTATGTCTAAGCATGCCAGTGATAAAAAATAATTTCAGAACTCTATAAACAGGCATAAAACAATAATTCGCCCCTTATTGATTGGTCTGCCCAACAATATCCCAAAGTACCATTAAAAGATGGCTTAATATCTTTGATGATGAAGCACTGGCAGCAGAGTGTTGAATATTTTACCACAGAATGCCTTCTGGTTTCTATGTGGCTATCTTACCTCCACCTCTACCCTTTCCATCTATTAATCTCTCTTCCCATCACCACTTCCCATGGAGTTAAGGGTGGAGGCATTTTCTATCATATCTTTGTAGGAGAAGAGCTTGGATAGCCTTCTGTCAGGGATGCTTTAACTTGAAGTGCTTATCAGGAGATTGGACTTGATGGCTTATAAGTTCCTTCAAACTCTAATGCCCTATGATTCTATGTTTCGTAACAGCTAAGCACAACAATCAACTTTTCTTTTTAGCAGCATTTAATGAGATAGCAAGCCTTTCAGCCAACATATTTTTCTACTTTTCCATCCAAAATGTGTGCTGTTTATTCATTTCTAGTAATTAAAATATTAATAAAAAGTGATTAGAGAGGGTTCAACTGAGGACAGAAAGTTGAAAAACTATGGTTACAAATGAAAGGGACTTCTAGAACAATGCCAGTAGCATTGGCTTGCATGACAAGATTCACCCAAAAATCCATTGTGCCGGTTCACAGTATTGGCATCATGCCTGATGTTCTTGCAATGTAATTTGTGTCATTGGAATGATGCTGTGGGATAATGTCCCTTGTGTTTTTTGCTTTTATTCTTTAAATCTCCGTGCACTGCCTTGATGGCAGTTCAGAAAAGTATAAATGTTAAAAATAAATACAGTCTGTTTAGCCACTGTTGCAGATTTTCTCTGTGCTGCTTTGACGTGCCACCAACCGGAGTTCTTTTGTATTATTTCCCTTAATGGGTCCCTTTTGGTCACCTTTCAGGTTTTCCAGGGAAACTTTGACAACGATACCCACAGAAAGAACGTCATTGACCCTCCAATCTATGCACGGCACATAAGGATCCTCCCTTGGTCATGGTATGGCAGAATCACTTTACGGTCAGAGCTCTTGGGCTGTACAGAAGAGGACTGACGAGGATCTGCACTTAACAGCACAACTCTTTGATATTCCTAAAAAAAATCTCCATAGAAGAAACTGTGCAAAACCTGTAGGAAGTTGGATGGTTTTTTCATGAACAAGTGCTCACTTTCTGGTAGGCCACTGTCTTTTGTAAGGAGGTCTAAGCCTGCCCTTAAAATGGTCCAAATCTGATTTTATTTTTTACTTTTGCTCCTTTAAAATCTGTTCCAACTATTACTCTGTTTTTCTGTTGAATTTACCTGTCAAGTTTTCTTCTCAGTTTTTCATACTGGCTGAAATATGGCTAGGGATATATAAGAAACAGCAGCATCATTTTTGCAAGGAAGATAATATCAGAATGACAGTGGCTTGCGATTCAAGAAAGGGCAAGTGGGTTCATTGCTTCTAAACCCTTGCAGTCATCTTACTTGCAAGAAGTGATCCTGCAGCTTTAGCAATAAGTTTTTTCTCGGGGATGACTGCATTTGATTGTTTCCCTTGTGCCTATCAAGCATTGTCGAGGTTAATGACACTTTTTGGAAGAATTTCTGTGGTCTGCAGTCCTCCTGATGTTACAAACTACCTTTTGTAATTTTCCTTTTCAAAGATCCGAGTCCACAAACCCTGGGTTTCATTTCCATGTGTTTTGTTTTCTGTTCAGCATGCTGTGAACATCATCACTGTCTTTTGTGTTTATCTCATTAATTACTGCTCTTTACTTTCAATGAACTAACTTGGATTTATGGAGCAAAATGTGCTGTTGGTACATTACAAAGCTGATGGTTTTGTTGATGACTTCAGCTTGTAGTTTTGTTCCTAAAGGATGCTGAGATGAACGACCATGGACCAAATTTGGGACTTAAGTAACTGTAGCAGGAGAGATAGGTGCATATGTATGCTGGAGAAACAGCATTCATTTGCTCCTGCATTTTCTTCCTTGTCAGTTGCCTCGTGGAGCAGCTAGGAGTTGACTTCTTTGAGAAGCCTGCTTTGGCTTTTTAGGTAAAGGGGATGTGAGATCTAGGGGTGCATGCCATAACACACCATGTCTCCTTGCTCTAAGGTATAACCCCACTACAGCACTGTCTTTCAGCATATGGATAAAAATTATGTACAGCCTGGGGTTCCATTGTCATGCAATAAGGTCTCTAACATTATGCTAACTATCAGCTCTACAAAGCTCGTCAAGCACCCAGGTTTGAGGGGATGGTTTCTATAGGATACACAAAGGGCAATTTTGTTGACCAGGGAGAGAAGAGGGAACAAAGTGGGAGGGATTGATTCAGATATGGGACAGGCTCCAAAAATCAGAAATACTGACCAGGGCTGGGGATCTGCTGCAATTGTTTACAAGGAAAAGCAGCTGGGACCAATGGATGTGCTATTGGATGCAGAGTTCAGCTTCCTAAGAATATCAGAGTTCATTTCAAAGCAGGACATTTCTAGCTCGTACACCTGCAAAGGTATGACTGACAGGGTGGGAAGTCCCTGTGGAATCTCCAGTAATTGAGGACAGGTTATAACATCCCCCATAGCTCCATCACCTCCTCTAACTAGCAAAGGTACAAGGTATGGATTGGTCGGGCTGTCGAATTATAATTACTTGTAAGGCATAGAGTACATGCTGGCCTGATAATAGGATAAAACCACTATGTGAACAGGCAAGATGTTAAATCAAAGGCAGTCCAAAGTACACAGGATTCCTGCTTGTCTTTCTTATACATTACAGCTCCCGTGCTCCACAGTGATGGAGCTTTCTACTGCTGCATAGAGAAGGAATTATTCATGTGGGACTCTGGCTTTTCAGTGCTGTTCCACACTGCTGGATCATGCGGTAATGACAACTGCTACATACCATGGATTAGTTGTGTGAATTATATATCACAGATCAGCTATCACAGATGGGCTTGCTTATACATCAGAGCGTATCACTTCAAGGGAAGCAATATTCTCACCTGATGAGCGTATTGCCTTATAACCACTTCTCCAGCTGATTATCTGAATTAGCCATAAATCCAGCTCTCTTGCTCACTGATGAGGCAACATGGACCTTTGTGCCTCAGAGCTCCCATCTTAAAATGCAGTGCTGGAAGTGGCTTGATTGGGATGGCACAGGGTACAAGGCACACCAATTCATGCTAGACAGCCATGTGTATGCAAAGTTATCATAGCGCATAACTGTGTTGTTTCCAAGGGCAACACTTGTCCCTGCCCGACCTCAGCCAAACAAGGTGTGAGATCCTGTTACCACTGGAATTAATACACAGAGATGTTGTCAGAGCGAAGTATAAATGGCTCCTCATTTCTGATTCATTCTAGCCACTACTGTGGCAAATGTGTGTGAACACTGTTAGGTACTTAGTAGGTGACATTTTTCTTGGGTGAAATACTTGCTTGTGCTGAAGTTCCTGGCACTTTTGTTTTCGCAAGGTATCGGTATTCTATCAGTTTCCTTTCCAGTTCTTGGAAGCCTTCCCATCCCATGAAACCTCCAAACAACCATCCTTTTCATTCTTGATTTCATAGCATGTTGTGGTAGGGTTTGGTGTTTTACTTTTTTTCTATTTTTGTGTCTCATTAATACATCATGCTATGAATTTTGATACTATTGCATTATTCATAAAAGAGGAAAATCACAGAGATAAAAATCCAGACTCTGTGACCTTCATGAACAACTAGCCATCCTTTAATTGCAAAAGAGGAGTTTCAATTAAAAAAAAAGAGTCACTCACAATCTTTATACAATGTCTGATTCTCCGTGTAGTGACAATAAAATCTGATTTGCTTCAAACAGTTTAGGTCATAAACCTTTAATAATCAGGGGAAGCTCTCTTGAAAGTCTCTCTCAATAAATAAATAAATACCATGAACCAGTAAAAAAATAGATCTGTCTACATAAAGAGCACATAATTCTCAAGCTGTGTTTCTTCACATTTTTATTTTGTAAGGCTTAGACATGGATATCCAGAGATTCTCTCTTTGAGAATCTACTCAAGGTAAAACAAGTTATGTATGAGAAATGTCAAAGTCCTGTGCAACCCTGTTAAGTTAATGATTCTTTTTGTTTTGTTTTTAGTTGGATTTGTACTGCATTACCAAATCCACTAGACTGTTACTGTCTTGTCTGTAACTGTGTTAACATTTCTTAACAATGTTATCTATGGAGTGGTCTTCAATTGTAGTGAATAATTTTAAAGAGAAAGTCAATCATAATTGCATTTTAGGGTGGAAAAAGCTGATGGAATAAGGTTGGTGACTGAAATGGCTTTAAACTACAAACTGTTCATATTCTGCACTTTAGGCTCATACAAAAATGCTGTAATTTTTACTCCAGAGCAATTCTGTTTACTTATATAGACCTGCTCTGGAGTAAAATAAGTGTGAATTGTTGATATTCTCAGTATTTTTAGTGGATCTAGACTTGAAGAAAGTTTTTTTTTCTCTTATGGGACAAATTTTGCAGTTTTGGGACTTGGCATCCTGACAAGAAACACATGCCAAAGTCCAGAGGTCTACATGTGATTTACCTCCAAACTAGTTGGCAATGACCAATTTTAGTGCCGACCACCTGGAGAAAGGGGACAGATGGTGCCTGGATTTGGCCCTTCACATCATGAACAGCTGATTGATGCTATCAAAGTGACTGCCATTGTCCAGTCCTGCATTCACAACCTCTGCCCTGTACAGGAAACAATATTCAATGCCCTTCTGTAAGTTGACCCTTCTATAAAAAGCAATGCAGACTACTTTTGATGGATCAGGATAATAACCTGCAGTTCATACTCTGCAGGAGGTCTCACTGGAAAGAAATATTGCAGGACCTCCCATAAATAACAGAAAAAAATCGCAAATTGGCAAAACTGTGCAAACATAGTGCAAACCTGTATGCATCTAATCAGAAATAGGTCAAGTTTCTGCTTCCCAGAAAGTATGAATAGAATTGCAGACTTAGTTTGCTACTGCTAGTACCACCTCAATGAATGGAGTTTGAACTGATGGAGCACTTTGAGCTGCTAATCAGTATGTTCTTACAAAATATTTCTATTTATCAGTATTCTCCCTTAAAATATATTGGAATCATAATTTCTTGGATTTGCAATTAACTGATATGTACTATAGTTTATAGTACATCATGTTGAAAAACTGAACATGTAAGTTCATTAGTCTACTGTTTGAAAGGACTGCATCTTTGCCCTTCTTTTATTTATTTCTTTCAGTTTAATAGTTCATTTGTATGAGCCTGAACAATTTATTTGCCACATTTTGCTTCTGTTACACCATTAGAAATGAAGAGAAATGTATTTGACATCTTTATAGTAATTGTAGATCCAATTCACTAGGAAGGTCTTCTCTGCAGGTGTCACTGAAATGAGTAGGAATGAATGATCAGGACTACCTGTTTATTTCATTGCAGGGGTGTCAGCAGTTAATTTGCATTGCTGTTGCTGTTTTATTATGTAAATAGCAGCTATAAGGAAGATTCAGGATTGTGGGGTGGGGATTTAAACTTTTCTTCTCCCTGCCATAGCCCCTACAGAAAAAAAAGTGTCTTAAAAGTTGTTGCTGTGTGCGTTTCAAGGGAAACCACCATCAGCACCAGTAAGCATTTCCCTCGAATTGTTATATAGCAAAGCAGATGTATACTAATTGCCTCCACACCAGTAACCTCACTTGTAGCTTGGTCTTCTGTGCAGCCTGCAAAAGAGGAACTCCCACTGGATGGAGTCCTTTGGATTTGACGCAGCTTGACAGTTAAACCGCACTTTCTTTTGCTTCTGACTGTCATTGTGCAAGATGCATTAGTGCTGCAGGATGGGTTCCTTAGTAAGGATGTGTTCACACACGTCTGTTCACAAACTCACAAATGACAGATGTGATCAGTGCTGATGGACACCATTGACAAACCCCTCCAACAAACTTTCCAGTTACCTGGTCACCTCAGGCACTTTTCCATGCAGGAAGCTCACACATGCAACTGTGCGTCAACAAGGGTTGGATGACTGAATTCTGAG